TACTGATTGTTTGGGGTTAGTCCTTGCTTTTTTTTTTTTTTTTTACTTTTTTTCCTCCTCTTTGTATATTTACAGCTTTCAGCGGCGCAGAGGGCCCTGCGCTCTCGTCGCCTCAGGTGCGGCTTAGCACCCTACCTCGGCCTTCTCCGACCGGGAGACAAGGCACGTCTCTTAGGGGAACACCCTAGAGAAATCACGATTTAAAATACACTAGTTACAGGAAAATTCCACTACAAACTAGGAGAGTGGCTCTTATACTTGACTACTGTAGTTATTGCGCCTTTACCTTATTTGTAGCGTTAACTTCTCCAGCATCAATTGGCAGTCTTCTAGATCCTTCTTTGCAAGACTACCTGTGGTCAAAAAGTTTGTTCCGCAGGGCGGGAACTATTCTGATCACCCCAGAGTTTCCCCTGGGGTAGGAAACGGCAGGGTTCGGGGAGCTGGTCGGACCGTACGCTGGCCCTGAGGAAGCAGCTCTTGCTCTGGCTTCCAGGCTCTTTCCCCTGTCCTGCAGCTCCCAACTGACCCCGAGCCACTTCCAACCACTGCCCAGTGCTTTTGCAGGGCAGTTCAACTCACTGATGCAGCAGAAATTGAATCCCCGAAAGACGTGAATGTTTTTCCTCTGGGCTAGTGAGCTAAGCTGGCAACGAAAGGATCCCACAAGCTCTGGTGCCAGGGCAGGGGAAGGGAGGGTGTTGCTGGAAACAGGAGAAAAGAGGAGGAAGAGGAAGGAAAGGGAAGGTCCCTCTCTTTTAAACAGCAGCAAGCTGTTACGTCATTTTCCACTGCCTAGGAAATTACAACTGTATTTAAACAGATTTTGTTATAATACATATTTTTCAGCCCTCCTAAGCTTTTTGGATCTCTCCCGTTGTCAGCATCTTTGGTGAGCATCACAGGGCTGCATCGTGTTCTGGCAGCAGTCACAGCAGCGCTGAATTTGGAGATACAGCCTCTGTCCAACCACTCAGAAGGTTTCTGGTTTTATATCGAATTATTAGCCAGGTCTGCCACCTTCCTAAGTACCTTAACCTTTGACTACTGAGTCATGCAACTACAGATCACTAGATATATTTATAAGTGCAATTTCGGGCCTACAGTATGAGTTCACAAAAATTCTGTTAGGTACCTTTTGGGCAGGGAGAGAGAGAGGGAGGGAATCTAGCTCTGGCTTAATAGGGACAGATAATTATTGCTTTTGTAGTGCTAAATTTTCTCTGTAGTCAAAAATGATTTTTAATATAAATGGAAGACTTAAAAGTGTGTATGCTCAGAATGAGAGTGTAGCTTTTCATCCCACGGTGAGCTCGGTGGGGGTGAAGCCCTGTGCCCAGCCTGGGTAGTGGTGGTCATCAAGAGCATGGTAGTGTCCGTAAAGCATGGAAATAGCAGACGTGTGATTGACTGAAGC